TTTAGTTTATAGAATGATAATAGTTAGATTTTAAACTATTTTTGGCATGAGGAGGTGTGCTACGATACATGGCGCCAAATTCAAGTCGTAGAAAGCCGCCGTGTTGGACTCAGACTTGTAGTTGTCTAAAGATTCTTCATTATTTTAAAAGTAAACTCTAATAGTTATCTTTGTGGACTATTTTAGCCTCAATTTAAATAACATGACTTTTATAAATTGTAAGACTAAGGTTCTATTTGGGGCAGTTGCAGTTTAATGAATAATATGTTGATAAGCTGATTAAAAATAATTTGCTGATAAGCTACGTGTTGTGGCTATTATAAATTTTTGTTTTCTTGGAAAAGTCAGACCGCTACCAGAAAGCTGTCACCACGCCTAGATATGTGCGGTGTGAAGCGTTTTGAAAACGCCCAAGCTGTCAAAACTCAGTTTACCCAAACCCGTTGAAAACGCACCGCACTAAATTAGTTGTCCCAAACGGACCCTAACATGACATAATCTAAACGATCAAAGATTATTTTGACAATTTAGTGGATTAAATAATAATATTTAAAATGATTAGGAAAAAAAATTAACATTTATGATTAAATAATGCTATCATTATTGAAGAAAAAAATGGATAAAGTCTATGCTGATTAAATTTTAGTTAAGATGAGCTTCATGACATTTAGATTTATTATATGATGCGTATGACATATGATCAATCAATCAATTCTTGTACTTTACTTATATCAAAAAAGATAAATTTTAAAATTAACTTATTATCTAGTTTTATTGAGTTTGTCGCTACCCAATTTATTTATTTATTTATTTTTTTTTTTGTGGAAATTTTATTACATACTGGAAAATGTTTATATATTTACAAATCTAACTTCTAAACTTTTGCATTTATAGCACTTTATGATAAACTCACGCACAAAAAAATATATTTCACTCTTAAGAAGGCAAGTAATAGTAACATTTTTAAGTGATATTATTTAAATATTTGAGCGTTATGATATAAATATGAATATTTACGTGTTAGATATACAAATACTTGAGAATTGTGTGACATGTTGATAACTTTATATAAATACCACAAAATATTTATTTATTTACATATCTAACATCTAAACTCTTGTATTTACATTTATGACACTTTCATATCATTTAAAATAAAAAACTATTTCCAAATAAAAAAAAAAAAAAAAAAAAGTATTTCGCTCTTTAAAAAATGCGATAACAATTAAAAATTTCAGTATTTTTGTAAATAAATATGAATATTTACATGGTAGATATGCAAATACTTAAGAATTGGGTGATATGTTTGTAAAATGCATGTTAGATATTTGGGACCCACCAACTCTAGTGGTTCGCATGTTAAGAGATAGGGAGATCCTAATCATCAATAGCTGTTCAAGTTGATGGCCCCAAATTAGATTTAATACTTTGGCACGTTGGTCTTGGCTTGATTTATGCCAATTAATTTTTAATAACATAAAAAATTAGGCCAGGATAATTGCAAATTTTCATAACATTTAACATTATCATTTATGAATAAAACTTTTACTTAAAATTTGTATGTGTGAATCTTGAGAAAATTCAATGGACAAAAAAGTAGAAATGAATGCAACTAAGGAGTGCCCACAGACGGAAGATAAAGGGCTGAGGTTGAATGTACGAATCAAAGATTGAAGTTTATCAAGTTGAGCGCAGGCATCGATCTGCCTCTCATTATAACTAGACTCGAGGGAGGAATGTAATATTCCCAGCTATTTGAGAACCCTTTGGGGCTCTGAACTAGCCTCACATAACCACACGAAGCATCCATGAAGGATCCCTCATTGAGAGAACAGTCTTGTTGAACCAGTTCCGACTAATTCCGGCAGACCAAATAATTGGGTGACTAAACCAAAAACCTATATATATAAAATACTTAAATTATCTTGTAAGACCTCCGTTAAAACACTGTCAGATAATATAATTGTATATAGTTTGTATCTCATCCTCTATAAATAGGGGAATCATTTACTCCAAAAGGACTAATCAACAGTTTAAACTACTATTCATTATTGTACACTCTCCCCCACCCCCTTCTCTCTTGTCGTACGCTCTATTCCTTCACCATGATTCAAGACAAATCAGGATTCAACAAAATATAAATAGAAAAGAATTAGGTGATATTAATTCTAATGCCCCTAAAATATAATATTATTTCATATATGTGAAAAATCAACATAATTTACAATTCCATCTTGCACTCCCTCAAATTATGAAAGCCCATTGAACTCAATTTATAATTCAATCAAATTCAACTAACCCAAATTTGAAAGATTCCAAACCTAACTTTCATGCTCATTGATTTACAAGATGTAGATAGAAATCAAATTGGATTTTTTTTTCTTATCTTTTTAATTAATTATATTTATTTTTTTCGCTTGATTCCTATAAAAAAAAATTATAAATATTAGTTGGTTATTTGACTCTTGACACGGAATCGCGATCACCATGTTTTATATCATATTACTGAAAATGACATAATCATGATGTTAAGCTGGATTTAAGCCATTTTCCTTTGTTTAAATTACAATATTTTTGGCATTAGCTCTTTGGTTGTTAGTACTATAATTAAATTTAATATTTTTTTTAAATATCAACTTAATTAATATTTTAATACTAATAAACTATTAATCAATTCTAATTATCATTTCTTGTGATATTACGATATATAAAATATTTCATATATTAAATATTTATATTTTTCGCTGACTTCTAAAGGTTTGATCACACGTCCGTGTTGTCTAGCTGTATCTTCGTGACATGGATACCTATCTCACCGGTTCTTCGGGTGCACCGCTTGGCACCTTCTGCCTCGTGGCAAAAGTTATACGTGGCACAGTGTGGTTAGTGTAGAAGCCGTGTTTTTCGCTCAAAGACGTAACCGCACCAAACTCCGACCAGTTCTCGCCGCGGTTATCTATTTTTCTTCCTGAATTTCCGTCGGGTTTGTAAATTATTGCACACAGCAAACTCTACTGTTCAAGTCTTGTTTTTAAAAAAATGTATTTTAATGAAGAATCGAAGCATACAATTAACATATAAAATATTTTATCTTGGGAGATCAATAAAAATTTGTAAGATTTTTTAAGAGATGGGTGGAGGCCACCGCTCGCTGCTGCCGCTTGCCCGCAGTATCCTACCCTCTATCGCTCTCCTGTCATCATCGACGCCGACCGCCAAACCGTATGTACACCTCCCACGCACGCGCGCACACACTGACACACACACAAGCTGTCTGCCGCCACCGTCTCTTGCAACTGCCGACGGCCCAGGGCCTTGCAATTATTTTGTTTGGCCGTCTGGGCTGATGAGGTGAGGTGGTTAATACTGCTAATCAGCCTACTAGATAGGAACCATCAATTGACGAACTCTTTAGATAGAATCGACTGACTGGATTTCTAAAGATAGTCGGCGGGACTGGCCATTAGCCAATCGGGCGTATTAATCTAACCTTCAACACTCATTTTTCGCTGAGGAAATTCTTGTTGAATAAGTAAAACTAGACCATCGAGCACATGGTGAGTTACCATATCCTGAAGACTAATTTACCTGCTGAAGGTTGTCTCTAGAGACAAGAGGTGTCAGTTAGGTGTGTTCTATATGATCTGTTTAGATGACTTTTGACTAACATGAACTCGACGAACTTTTGGGCTACCACGTCATTTTACAATGGACCTCACCTGTCATATCTTCGTATTACCTCAAGATTTATGTTGACATATTTTTTATGTACATATGAAGAATAAAATTGAATGTGTGAATTTAATTGAGAAGGGAAAAATTAGCAAAATTTGAAATTCTTTTTTTTTTTTTCATCCACATAAAGCTTTAAAAACAAGATGAAATTACAAATTGATTTACTTATTTCATATAAATTTTTAATGAAATATATTTTATTTGCATCGTGAATAAAACTATGTCAACAGCACTTATCTCAAAAAGGACAAATACAGGCTTTTATTTCAACATGCTTGAATAACATAATCCCTTAGCTTTGTTAGATAATAACATTTTTCTAGGATGTATTTGAATACTAGGAAATTACAAGGAACAAAACAAAATAGGAAAATTTGCATACATACCACACAATTCTTATGTATTTACATGTCTAACACCAAAATGTCCAATATCTACACTAATAACATAATAGTGACATAAATCTAAACATAAAAAAATATATTTCACTTCAAAAAAAATAATTACAGTAATATTCTCTATATATACCGTTAAATATTTGTGTGACATGCATGAAAATATGAAAGTTTATATGTGAGATATACATAAAAATCATATGATATATATGGAAATTGTAAGAATAACTATGAAAATTTTGCTGCCCTCGACAAAACTATAATAAATTAAGCTATCATTTCTGTTCTAAATATTAGGTATGACTCATATACCATAAATGGGACCGATGCTGGAGCGGAGCGGAGCCCACGAGCAGAGTGGAGCAGAAAGTCTGTCCAATCGGGGGAGTTTCATTATTTGGGTTTCTAGTGCGGGGGCAACACCCTGTAGTTTGGTACATTAGTAATTTAAATAATTACATATTGTACTATAGAGTTATATATATGTCATGTCTGTAACCTTATGAGAGCTAAACTATGTTTATGTACTCTTTTCTGAATATTGAAAAGAGAAGTCGCAACTATGCTCCCGAGGATGCAGACATCTTTGTCGAATCTCATAAATATTTGTGTGTTCTTCTGGATTTATGTCGATTCATGTTTTTCTTCGCCCTGATTTCTCGACACTAAAAAATTTCTTACTTTTGCATTTCTATCCAAATGTCAAAACTATAAGTTGTTTCATATAAAATCCTTAAAATTTGTTTCATAATTTCTGAGCAAATATAATTCATACGCTAATCATGAATTTTTTTTATTTATTTAATTTATCCAGTCTCCTACCCTTTTCTCTCCGCCATCTTTTTCAGTACAGGAGATTCCCAATGCCAGCTGGCCGAGCCCGCCATTCCCCCCCTTCTTATACCCCTCTTCTCCTCCCATCCTTCCCATTCACCGATCACTCATACACCTAACCCTCATAATCTTAATTATTAGCAGAGATCTATCAATGGCGAAGCTCAACTTCGATCAATTGCTACTCGTCGCAATCAGTATCACTTGTCTCTTGATTCAGCCGAGCTCCGCCCAACTCCGGCAGAATTACTACTCCAAAATTTGCCCTAATGTTGAAAGCATTGTGCGGAACGCCGTCACCCAAAAGTTTCAGCAAACCATCGTCACCGTTCCCGGAACCCTCCGCCTCTTCTTCCATGACTGCTTCGTTAACGTACTTCACATGTTTAATTTCTTCGATTCTATTTTCGTTCTCAGTCTTTGTTTGCGATCGATCTTCTTATTCGGTGACATGCAGGGCTGTGATGCATCGGTGATGGTGGCATCGACGGCGAACAATAATGCCGAAAAGGACAGTTCGGATAATCTCTCACTCGCCGGCGATGGATTTGATACCGTCATCAAGGCCAAGGCTGCCGTAGATGCTGTCGCCCAATGCCGAAATAAGGTGTCCTGTGCTGATATTCTCACCATGGCCGCCCGCGATGTCATCTCCCTGGTTCGATTCCCTGTTTTGATTTTTAAATTTTGTTTTCGTTTCTGTTTCCCGCCCCAGCAGCATAAGAGTTTTGGCTTATATGTTTCCATTGCAATGGCTTCAGCTGTTTCCGCAGCATTTGGTAACTCATTCGTGATGATTTTGGAGCCAAATAATCAAAAAAATTTGGAATCAACAAAATTCAATAGTTTGCTAGCTTTTTTAGAAAATTACTGAAATCGATCGGCTTAGATTCAAGTTTTTCTGTTGAGTTATGATGGGCAACAAAATTTTTTCTTATGAATTATGATAATTTTGATCAATTTAGTTTATGGAATTTCAACTCTTTGATGATTACAGGTTCATTTTGGCAAATTAAAATCAATTTCTTGTAAAATAATCATTGTCGAATAATTCCGTACTTTCAATCAATTTCAAATACCTATCGTTTTTTTTTTTCTTAATCGTTCTTCTAACCATCATATGCTGCTTGTGTTGATTTAGGCCGGCGGACCATCGTTCGTGGTGGAGCTGGGGAGGCTGGACGGGCTCGTCTCCACGGCGGCGAGCGTCAATGGTAAACTGCCCCAGCCGAACTTCAACCTTAACCAGCTCAACTCCCTCTTCGCTGCTAATGGGCTCTCCCAAACGGACATGATCGCCCTGTCAGGTACGAAGTCAACCTGCTTTGACTCTTCACGTTTAGTCTTCCGGTACAACATACCGCCAGAGAGATGCTTTGGCTTTCCTAAATGAATGATTTAGGTTGTTGCGCATGTGGTATTATAATTAAAAAGATGAAATTTTGAATTTTGATTAATTTGTTTTTTTGTTGGCATAATTCTCTAAATTATTAGACATATTCTAAGAATTTTACAATATAAAGTTATTTAATTTTGTGTATATAATGTTATATCAAAATAAAATATTCCTAAAAAATCTAAAAGTTATTGGAGCACCACTCTTTTAAGAAGATTCCCCTGCCGCCTTTGGACCATGTAGCTTAACTTGAACGGAATGTCTTTTTTCCCAAACGAATTTAAAGTAAGCATCCGAATGTCCGAGCACTATTTCACTTGCTTCAAATTGGAATGCTTTGCTGGCTCAAAATTTTAAAGTTGGATTTCTCCATATATAATGTGTAAAGAGTGAAGTGTCATTGGTTGTATAATATCTATTTTAGTCTGAGAGTTTATAGATCTGTCAAAATAATCATTAATTATTTTAAAAGTGAGCTCTAATTGTCCTCTATGGAAACTGCTACAGTCTTAATTTAAAGAATATGTGAACTATTGTGATACTTTTATAAATTATGGGATAAAAACAAATCATGTATATAGTCAATGACTATTTTGTCATTTTAGCGCAAATACCAATCTTTAAATGCTAGATATATAAAGACGTAAAAATTGTGTGATATGTATGAAAATAATAAATTCTCATATTTACAGACCTAACCTAAATATCATAAATCTCAAATTTTAGAGCTTAAATTTGTAAATAACTAGGAATTTTGTGGCATGTACGTAAATTTTCGTATTCTTTTTGGGCTTTTGCATATCTACCAGCCGGACCATCCGAACTTCAATTTTTTTTGCGTAGAAATTACCAGATTCTTATGTTTTAGATATAAATCTGATGGTCTACAGATATAAATTAAAAATTTAAAAGTGATTGATATGTTAAGACATAGAAATTGCGTGGTAGGTATGTAATTCTCGCTATTCTTTTTAGCCCCCCAAATGGCGGCCCAGAGAGCTGGTTTAGTTTTGGGACTCATTAAACTGTAAGTGTGCACGTGATTTAGGGCGCAGGTTTTGGTATTTGTTCTCTTAAGGGAGACTCATGCTGGCCTTATGGCACGTTTCAATTTGTGAAGAGGATGGTGGGAATAATACTAACAATAAAGGCCATAGGATATAAAACAGGCGCGTGGGTACCACTAAATGCTACATCATGGAAACTTTTACCTCTGTCGCTACATACCTCTTTCGTCTTCCTTTTGTTTTTTTTCTTTTATTTTCTTAAATTCTATTTCCTTTTCACTTATAATTTTGCACTGCAAATAAGAGATTTATGGCTGGTGTAGATGTAAAATTATTTAATTTAATATTTATTAATGCTTTTGTTGCAAATTATTAAAAAAAAAATTTTAAATATTATGCATGTAAATTCCTTGAAATAAAAAAATAGGAGAGGATAACAATCTTTATATATTTGCTTAGAGGAGAAGGAAGTGACCAAAAATCGAGGGAAGCCGCCTGATGACTATTCGAATATAGAATAACCAATTAACCATTAATAGCCAATTGTTTTTTTCTATTCTCTTCAGAAGATTAGCAGACTTGTCTATCTCTAAAAAGAAATCCAAAAACGGCTGTATATACAATAATTTCATGGCCGTGAAGAACATTATATTTCATTTATATTTTTTTGGTCTGTTAGATTGCTCTCCTGCACGAGCGACTTGTGTGCCTCATTCAGATCAATTTTATTCATTACTACAACTGTAATATAAAATGCTTGGAGAAATAAATAAATGTAAAACCAATAATATATAATATAGTTTGGGCATTCTGGAACGGCAACAGCCGGCAAGCACGAGGATGTCAACGGTCTCCCCTCCACAATTTTGTTTCTTTTCTCTTTTTAAATTTTCTCTCAAGGCAGACATCATAAAAATATTCACATTATTTTTTCGTTATTTCCAACCATTACGCTATTCTTAGGAGCAAATCCTGTCAGTAGTTGTTAGATATTTTTATATCAATTGCACGCCTTCTAGTCGTTTATATGATTTTAAGGATGCATTTAGAGCAGGTGTTTGGCAAAACTATCTTTTATCTGTTTTCTCAAAAAAATTATGATGGGAAGATGTGTTTTGACCTTATTTAGTGCGGTGGTTATAGTTTGACTTTTTGAAAATAAAATAAATTTATGATGACCATCACAATTTTTTGAACAACAAGTGTAATTTCACAACTACGTGTTCAAACAATTATAAACGCCCTGCACAAATCCTATGTCCATGTTTTTATGTTTTTTAATATACAACCTTTAGTGAGAAATTCTCCTGTTATTGCCTGATTATTGAGATAAAGAAATATATATAAATGGATATAAAAAGAAGGTTATTTCTTTCTTCAACTAGACCTACTTGCTATTCTATAAGAATTAGGTGAAGTGTCTTCTGTCATATTAATTCAGGCATAATGAAAATAATAAGTAACCCTTTTTTTCTTAGGCTAATGATTGCTTTTCTTTTTAGTACTATTCATCAATTGATGTAACTTCTAAGAATAAAAATAAATCAACATTTTCACTATAAAAAATGTTAGCAAGCTAATTTCTCCATATCAAGAAATATGCATGCCTACCACACACTATTCTCATGTACTTATATATCTAATATCTAAACTTTCATATTTACATTTATAGCATCTTGGTGTCATAAAATTATGTGAAAAAATAAATTTCATTTTTAAAAGATGAGTGATATGCTTGATATAATGTTAAAAATAAAACTTAATGAGTAGAAATATGAAATTTTTATGTGTTCATGTGTTACATATGTAAATACATACCAATTGTGTGGTACGTATGTAAATTCTCCAATTAAATTATATTCACTATCTTTGAATCTTACATCCGATATGATTTCCGCAGCTGCGCACACACTGGGGTTCTCACACTGCAATAGATTTGCGAATAGAATCTACGATTTTGGCGGCCGCAAAGGAGCAATAGATCCGAGTTTAAACCAAACGTACGCAAAGCAATTGCAAGGAATGTGTCCGCGCAACGTGGATCCCAACATAGCAATCAATATGGACCCCATCACCCCTCGGACATTCGACAACTTATACTTCAGCAACCTGCAGCAGCGTATGGGGCTATTCACGTCCGACCAATCCCTCGCCGATGATTCTCGGTCTCGCCCCACCGTCGACACGTGGGCCGCCAATTCCAACGCCTTCAACAATGCCTTCATTGCTGCCATGACTCGCTTGGGTCGTGTCGGCGTCAAGACAAGTACAGCACTGGGAAATATTCGCCGGGATTGTTCGGTCTTTAATTAACATATTTTATTTTTTGTTTCTAATTTTTTGAGATTTGATTGGGGAAATAATAGATTGATGTGGGAATAAGAGGGAGGCTGTGTGTTAGATTTGGATGGAGGACGGAATAAGGGGTTGTTTAATGAATATTTTTTGTAGAGGGAAGTGATGTGATGGCATATGAATACCATAATGTTATTTTACATTAGTCATATGTTTTGGTGCTCGCAAACAAGATTTTCTTTTTCAAGCAAATGCTACAAAAACAAGGATTAAAAAAAAATTTGTTGAGCTTGAGTTTATATAATCTTATAAAATTAAAAGAAATGGTACGTGTGTGTATACACTTACTGGTACCTTGGTTAAATGGGTTTTTGGGTCTAATAGATCAAGCCTATTCATCACAAATTTTGAAGCGCTGGCCGAGACCGGACCGATTATACATGTTAGCTGTATCTTTGGGCGTGATAACTATTAGACTTGTCACTCAGAGTTACTCCGAGATCTTCTTTGCCAAGTGTGTCAGTATTTACGAGAGCTTCTTTGGTTGAACTCGTTGGTGCCGAGTATTCAAGTGAGCTTCTCTGACCAAGTTCTTCCAAGCTTTTTAAGATCATTTATCGAGCTCGCTTACACCCTGTGAGCTCTTCGACCGAGCTCACATGCATCAATCGAGTTATGTCATCAAGTTTGATGAACAGTCTTTCACGACATGAAAACTCTGTTCCAATATCGTTTAAATCTATTAATTGATTGCATGACGTCGACATTTGAATGTTGTTGTGAGATCTATGAATATACCAGTTGTTGTGGTATATATATATAAATCAAACAGGAGAACGATCGACGAAGCGAAAAAATAGAACGAGAAAATTCACACCAGAAAATATTAACACAGCGGAACACATAGATTTACGTGGTTCGGCAAATTGCTTACGTCCACGGAGTTGCAAAAGATTTTACTACTTGAGGAATTTACACCAGTCGATCACCTCGACTTACAAAAGAAATCTCTCACTTCTTTGCTCTCTCTTCTTCTCTCTCTTTTTTTCTCTCTCTATACCGAGATACACCGAAGAAGACAAACTTACAAGAGAAATAAATAAATTTCTTTTCTGCCACAAGCCACCAAGAAGAAGCCAAGGAAGAACAATCTTCTTCTTCTTTCTTCTTCCTTCACCGCAAGAAACTACTTCTTGCGCCTTTCTTTTATCCGAAGGTAACCGAAGAAGAACACCGTGACTTCTCTTACTGAAGGAGAGTCGTGCGATACCTTTTATCAGGAGGGAGCAAATAGATGCTTCGTTTCGCGTCAGAGAAAGGCGAGAACGGTTCGCAAAATCGTAAGGTGGCGGTCGCGGCCTTTCGCGATCGGGAGACGGGAACAGTTAGCGACTTTTCGTGAAAGGGAGGCAGGAGCGGGATTGGAAGGCGGGAGGCGGGATCATGAAATCGGAGTCCAACTTAACACTAAAAACTTATCAACGATGAGTTTTAATAGGTTCTGTACAACATAGCCTCAACGAATCATTTTTTTAAATATTTTACAACTCAACATTTATTTATTATTTGTAGCCCTACTAGCTAAGGTAAATACATTCAAGGATGGTATAAACATGAAAGTAAAAGGGGGAAGCTCGAGAGACTTTCTATGTCTCCCGCTTCCCTTCCTCACCATCATCGATAATGAAACAGACTCTCTAAAATTTGTCGCTCTTTTCTAACTCATTTGCAAGGTCTCTTCTGGACTGTATGAACCGATGAGAAATGAATGACTTTGCATCCAAAAAGAATTCAACAAAATCTTTTTGTCGCATAATCCAAAATAAAGTTTTAATTAACGATACTAACCATATACATGTCATTCTTCACTAGCAACCCTAGCTTTCACAACATTCTCAAGCGTCACTATGTCATCAAGAGTCTATTTTGGGTGGTTTTAAGCAACTGCAAAAAAAAAAATTAAAAAAAAATTATTTTTTAAAATATTACAGTAACTATTACAATTTTATTTTATTTTTAACAAGTTAGAACACAACTTTCTGATAGTCATAACACTTTAACAGCTCAGGTTGAAAAAAACAGTTTTTAATCACATAAGTTTTTTTTTTAAAAAAAACAAGAAAACAATTATCCAAACAGAGTTGTAGTGGCGGTTTGAAAAGCGAAGAAGACAATAAGCTTTCCAAATAGACCCGCAATCTCTTGTCAAAACACCACTTCAAATTTTCTATAAAAAAGATAAAAATTTAATTGATTGGATCTAATCATCCAACAGAAACATATCTTGGTCAAAGCTTTCCATAATAAATTTATAGAACGTAATTTCATAACTAAATTTTCTTCATTACTCGTAAACATTAATACCTAAAATGAAATCGTGAAATCGGACATTCCACGGTTTAAAACCGGCCGGAAAAACTAACTCTCCATTTTTTGCTTATCCATAAAAGAATCAAAACCCTCATAGCCTACATCGTCGAATTCAAGCCCACATAATTCCTTTGTATTTACATATCTAAACACCCAAAACTTTATAATTTATTTTTATATCACCTGTTTATTCATATAATGGGTGTATTTTAAAATTTAAAAGCTTCTGATCTTGAAGCTAAGGATCATCAATTTAAGCTGAATAACACTGCATGCACATATCTTTAAAAGGAAGAAAGGCACAGCAGGCATATATCTTGAGATCTGTGTGTGGTCGTAGAGTACGTGACCATCTTAAGAGGCCTAAGAATATTTCTTTTGAATTTTCGTATAAGAAATTCTTTGGTCTAAGTACACCTGACTCTTTAAAGAGATGAAGCTCTTCAAGTTGTACTGTCGGGCCCATTTGGCAATCCTTAATTTATGCTCCACAGTTAGGGCTGCCAAAAAAACTCGTTTTACGCAAACAGTTCGTGTTTGGCTCGTTAAATAGCTCTTGCTCAGCTCGTTTGTTAAGTAAACGAACCGAACACAAATAATTACATAGGTCAAAGAGTTATGCCCTTTAGAGAATCAGGTTGTGAGTAGGGCTGTCAAAAAAGCTCGTTGTTCGTGAACAACTCGTGTTCGGCTCGTTCGTTAAGTAAACGAGTCAAACACAAACAAGTTCTTAAAGCTTAAATTATAAACGAGCCAAACACGAACAGCTCTTTGTTCGCTCGTGTTCGGCTCATTTTAGCTTGAAATAAAAAAAAAAATTATATAATTATTTATATAATAATATATTACACATATTATTTATATAATAATATATTATATATATTTATATCTAACTTTAAAACTTAATTGCTCGTTTGGTAATGTGGTTATGCGCCTTCTTTTGTATTCATTAGATCCATGTTTGAATCCAACACTTTACATTTATTTTTTCAGTTTAATTTTAACGAGTCAATTTCGAGTCGAACACGAACACGAACATTTAAATTGAGCCAAACACGAACACACTGTTCACGAGCCGATTTCAAACACAAACAATTTCGAACTAGCCGAACACGAGCCAAGCCTGAGCTCGCTCAAGCTCGGCTCGTTTACAGCCCTATCCACAGTTCTATTTCCATAGAATTAGTTTTAAAATGTTTAATTAAATCTTTATAAGAAAATTCAATTACACTAAACTTTATAAATTTTTTATAGAATGATAACTTAGATGATTTCTCATGAAAAAAACTCATTTGTGGAATTTAGATGTTCTATTTAAAAATATTAATTTTTTTAAAAGTTTATATATTTATTTATTTTTTCCTTGTACTGTAATAATATTAATATTTAATAAAAGTTTAATCAGCTTTTTAATTATTTGTAAATTAACAATTATTTTTGGAATGTCTTAAATAATAATCTTACTAAGCACTATTATCCGGTCTACCACAAATAGGACTCGCCCTTTATATTATAAATCTATTCTATTAGATATAGCTATGATAATACAAATTCACAATGTAAACCCCAAAAAGAGCTTTTTACATACACGGCCATAAAAAATATAGGAAAATTTACAAATGTACCACACAGATCTTATGTATATACATATCTCACCCATCAACTTGCATATTTACAATTCTACATACATAACATTTTAATGTTGTAAACCTAAGCATGAAAATGTGTATTTTACTTTTAATAAGTGACAATAGTGTTACTTTTGACATGATACTAACAATTTCAATGCAATGTGTATATATATATATGATAGCATAGATGTGAGACATGTAAATACATAAGAATTGTATGTATTATATGTTAATGCCCCAAAAATATAATTAAAAAAAAATTCCAATCATATATAAAGGTATATTGTACTAATCATACATATAAGTTGCTTTCACAAAAATAAAATATATTGCAATATTTAAATGACAATGAATATATTATAATAGAATATATAGTAATCTTTAATAAGGTACTCAACTGTACACCCCTAATCTGCACGTAATATTTTTTCCTTAAATTAAAATTTTAAAATAAAAAAATAAAAATGAAATAAAATCATTTAAAAAAACATAATTACCCTAATTGATCAAATTAATAATAATTAAACTAAAAAAAAATGAAGATATTCTTTTTAATCCCAAACTCCATTAAAATATCAATTTACTCCATAAATTTTTTGAATGAGATCCCAAATAATCCCCAATAAACTCTCATCATACATTAACAACTCACCATTTGATCTTAATGGAAAGGCGCTGATCAACAAGTCGACGTGGACATTGATGGGACCCAAGCAGTGGCAAAAACCACATCATGTCCCTTCCACGTCAGCACCAAATCATCCTCATCCCTCCTCATTCCCCAACCCGCGGAGTGCTCGTCCAACATACTCTTCACCTCCGCCGCCGCCTCGCCGCCGAACCGCATCCCCTGAAACCCTGCCGATCTCATCCTCTGACCCCACACGCTTCTCGGCTCCAATCTCTCCACCCTCCCCAACCCTTCCTGCGCTATCACATTCTCAATCTTCCAGAAAATCGCCGCCTCGTAAGTTCGCCGGTGATCGCTCCCCGCCGGCAGAAACGTCTCCACCGCGTCGAACGGTATCCAGAGATAGTTGAACGCCGCCCGAAGGCGCCCCGCCACATCCACCGCGGTGAAGTCCGCTTCTTCGTCCACTATCAATACCAGGTTCGGATTAAGGGAGCGGAGGCCCTCCATGAACATCGTCCGCGAGGAGACAGTTCTGTAAATAAATCATTGTGTGATGTTATTATTATAATTATTTATGTCATCAGCACTATCATAACAAGATTGCATGATTACTTTTTTTTTAAATTTTTAATTACGTGGTTTTATTTAATTCGTAAATGTGTTTATTTTAAAAATGTTGTTGCTTGGTTTTTGAATTTAAGCTGCTTTGGGCAAGCAAGTTGTGATTATTTAATAAAAAGTCTATAAAAGGGTGCTACTTTTAAAATTTGATGAGGGTGGAATTGAAAATTATGAATTGGTTTGGAGATAAGATAAAATATTATGGTTGATGTATTATTTTCTAGATTATAAATAATTTCAATTAATTTAAATTTTATTCTGCTATAAGAATGTTATCAGTAAAATTTTATGCATATCGATGTGTTGATTGAAATGTTTGAAATAATATATTGTGAGTTTTATATAATTTCAATTTTGTTTGAATGTAATTAATTAATTATATATTTGTATTAAATGTTAAATTGCTGATTATTTAGTTTTTATAGAGATTAGTTTTCATTCAAGGTTATTTTTAAAGTGATTAAAAATCATTAGCAGAGCACAATGGAGAAGTTTTTTGGGTTAGAATATGATTATAAAAAATTACTAAGAATAAATATTAAAATTGTTAGATTTCCTCAATTTTCCTCTAAAATAATCGAATTTAATTTAATATAACAAATACTGAATAATTTAAAATTTATATAAAATGAAATCTAAGAATCATAAACTAATTATTTTTAACAATCTTAGAATTTCCGAAAAGACATAATTATTTTAGAAAAAAACGATAAATCAAACTATATGAGCAATAAAATAAAAACATAACTAAAAGGGGTTTTTCATATAATTTATTTATTTTTGTTTTTTTTCAAATAATAAGCTAAATTACCTCAAATTTATAATAAAACTAAGAGCAGCACTCACTCACCCGACGGCGGCCGACTCATCGGGGATGCGGTGAAGCATCATATGACAATTAACGACCAGCGCTTCCCCGCTGGCTACCTCCGCCCGCAGCCGCTCCACCAAACTCTCAAATCCATCTTCGGAACTCGACTCTATAACACGAAACTCCATCCCCACATTTCGAGACCGGGCGAAGCTAACGAGTCTCGACCCCAACTCATCCAAAGACATATCCAACTTCGGTGGCGGCGATTCACCGCCATCACCGCTGACCGTCAGGCGAAGAAAAGGAGCCCTTTCGGCCCTCACGGCCAAAGCTTCAATCAAAGTCGGAATCTGCATGCTGTGGGTGGTGCTGAGATCGACGAGGTGAAGAACAGAGAAGCTGTCGGCGGCTTCAACGATCGCGGCGTTAGCTGCGGAGAAACCGAAGCGGTGCCAAGGAGTGAGGTCGATGAAAGCTGCGAGAGAGATGGCGGAGAGGCGGAGGGGGGAGGGGAGGGTATTGGTGGAGGGAATGGAGGAAGAGATGGGAGAGCCGGAGCGGGAAGCGCGGAGGATTAGGGCGCGGAGGAAGGCGGAAGTGAGGCGTTGGGTGGAGTCGCCGTCAGGAGGGGCGATGTTGTTGAGGACCCAAATGAGCTGTTGGGAGAGAGTGGAGTCGTTGGATTCGATGGCGTGGGTGCAGTGAAGGAGGAGCTGTTCCATGCAGGAGGCGTTGGTCATGGCGGGGAGGGATTTAACGGAGGTGGGGAGATCGGGCCATGGGTGGTGGGAGAGTGGAGGGGTGGGGATTGTTGTTTTGGAGCGGGGGGCGAAGTAGACAGAGCCGGTGTTTTCTGTGAACTGCATCGATCATGGGGGGATTGATCAAGATGGGATTTTTGCGCGGGATGAGAAAGATTGTTTTTTTTTAATGTTTGATTGAGGGTTTAGGGTTGGGAGGAGTTGATTGATTTGAGGAAGAAGATGATGATGAGGAGGAGGAAGGGTAAGATGGAGGTTGCCGAGTTGGTCAGTATTTTTGATGGGAACATGGTTGTCGTGGTTATGGACCTTTTAAGTGATTAATGCAATTGATAAATAGTTTAATATATATATATATATATATATATATTTGTATTTGTTTGTTTGAATAAATTAATGAGATTGCATAAAATTTTATAAATTATTGGAGATGGATGAAAGTTTGAAGTTTGACATATTTGAGTGTTTTATTGGTTGCTTAACAAATAGACTCTTGAGAATTTGTAGGGATGAAAATCTATACTTCTGTTAGGACTTCGATCTGATTAGAAATCGAAATTACTCTGCAGAATAGAATCATGTTGATTTGAGAAAATCATAACAAAATATTAGAATGAAAGCACAACAAACGCAATCTTCAAAAAATATACCAAGATTTAACGGGCAAAAATCTGGAACGTGAAATTCAAAAAGATTGCATAATACTTACTAAGATCTTCTCTCTACAATTGTTGGAATGTACTAGACTTCAATACAAACCATTCCTTTCGATCTCACAAGAAAAAGACACACTAAAATTCTCCTCTCCGACACTTCTTTTCTTCATTAGAACCTTTGTCGAAAGAACTGCACGCGAGTGTCCTCTTCATCGGTTAACAATGTGAATTCAATAATTATTCTAGGACAAACTATCTGGTGGCGTAGCCACACCATGCTTGGGTGTAATTATTTCGCTCGCTCAGAAAGAATGGTGACCCTCGGTGGGCTGATCACGCCTATTTCAGTGTGGTTATGCCAATCGGGGTTGTTATGCTTGTTTTGAGAGTAGCAACACAAAGTCCATGTGCATCCCTTTTGCTTAAGTGCTCATTGCAACTACTGGGGGTGCTTCAGGATCCAAAAAATCAATAATTTCCCACTTAGAGACTGATAACACCTAACATCTATCTCCAGATCTACATCTCCATATGTACCAACTTCAGACATGTATCGTGGTGTGGCTAATCACTGACATCTATCTTCATGAACTATAATTGAAGCCAAGTATAACTCCAATTTCTCGAAAGTCACCCCATCCATCAACATGTTTGTAAGATTCTGATTTGTGTGTATCTTCTCCAAGAACAACTCTTCTCCAAGAACAACTGCTCATCTTCTAGAAGAGAGTGTATACATCTGTTAAATGTTCTTTGTTTTTGCATAAAAAGAAGAATTCTTAGTAAAATGAATTGCACTTATATTGTCACAGTGAAACTTTCTAATCTCTTGCTCCTTGCCTAATTTTCTCAAAAAACTCTTGTTAAATTATCTCCTTGCTAGCTACAGTGATCGACAACCATAATTTAAAGTACAAAATTCTTCTACAGCTTGGAAACCAACTCTCTGTTGTGTTCTTCAAAGTGAATATTTACCCTATCGTACTCCTTATATCATCCATGTCTCCTGTCATATCTAAATATGCAAATTCATGTAGATTGATCGTCACACTTTGATAATAATGTGCATGTTGACTATTTCTCTCAAATACCTAAGAATCCACCTCATCGCCTCCTAATGATGTTTGTTTGGGTTTCCCATCTACATGTTGACCATGCCCTTTGCAATTGCAATATCTTGTATAGTACGAATCATAGCATACATCAAACTTCTAACTGCTGAAGTGTACAAAAGACTTCACATATGTGCTTGCTTTTCTTCAGACTTAAAAAATATATAACTCCTTTGGTAGCTTTAAGTGATTACCTAAATGGGTGTAAATTGGCTTTGTCTCACTCTTGTTGAACCTCTGTAGGATCTTATCAATATACTTTGAGACAACTTCAATGTATCTGCACACTTGTAGCTATGATTCTCATCCAACGAAATTTTTTTATTTGACTTAAATCCTTCATCTCGAACTCACTTGATAATTTCTCCTTTAAGTATCTAATTTTCTTAATATCTGCCTCTACAATCAAAATGTCATCCACATATAAAAAGAGTAAGATATAATAACTGTTGAAATGTTTAATGGAGCAAAAATGGTCTGTGACCGACCTTTTTTGTAAATCGACAATTACAAGAATTTGATGGCGCTACTAGAAGATTTAAATTCCAACAACGGTGCCAAAAACTTGACTGCGACTTTATATATATGTGTTTGATTTAATAAAGAAGTATAGATATAATATTCAATAATGTCAAAGTTAAATTTGTCAACGCAAGTATACGTATCGCTCAAGTAATATAGGGCTCTAATGGAGTCCTAGTTATTGATCCCATAGGGAGAAATAGAATACTACGGACTAAGAATTAATAAAAAGTAATACTTCAACTACAACGATCACGTTCAATTTGCTTATTTGTCACTAATAGACAATTGAAATAAATAGATAATTTGGATAACTAGTAAATAACTAATGATAGAAAGTAGGGTTTAATTGTGATATTCAACATATAAGAAAACATCATTCTCCTTGTCAAGAAATTATAGTGAATGGATAAAATGAATTAGTTCAATTTATATTGTGCTAAATAGGAGCATACATATTCTTTACGCTTTGGTCCAGACATAAAGAACATTGACTAATCTTATGCTTGGTTACTGATTCTCTGGCTAGGCTGGGAGGATACCGGCTCTCACTTCGGAGCTCCCACGTTCCCCTCACTTGAGGGCTAACTTCTACACATCAGCACCCAAACGATAGGACCGAATTGGGGATTTTAGTCTGTCACTCTAAAATCTCCATATCTACGCCCGCTAGTAATATTTCCCTATTTATTTGCACCCAACTTCCAAGGGCTTTGACCTCCCTGAATCTTGGATGTAATCTTCATTTTAATTGTAAAACTTAACATATTTTAACAAATCAATTGGCCAGATTGAAAGTAAATTAAGATCGAAGTGAAAAGATCATCACACTTTCTTAAACATTTTCATGGCTTCACCAATTCAAATCACCATTTCACAAATCTCGAGACAAAGAGAAAGACAGAGAAAACTACTCAGAACTCATGGGGAAAGCACAACAAAACTGAGAATTCATATATAAAATCAAAGTGTTGACCTCACTTTTGTTTGAGGTCTAGAAACTTCTTTAGTAGTCTAGGTCTAGCCATAAGACTTTCCTATTGACTAGTCTTAGAAAACTAGAAAATGTACCCTCACCATTAGAAACTCAAAACTGTTTTTTTTACTCAACTTGAAGTTCCACATATTGGTCCTAACCTCTAATATTTAGAACGTAAGTTCATTATGGGGAAGCTCAAGAAGAGTTCCTTACTTGGCCTTAGAATTGACCGGGTGTTGATTCGGAGCTAAGGTACACTATACCCTCACCATATCTTCACAATACCCTCACAATACCTTGGCTAAGACCAATATATGAGGACCCAAAATGGGATTTCATTGGTCTATGACTCATTTAAAATGGTTCTCTATCCAATTCTACTTGAAATGCCCAACTTGGTCTTTTGCCCCTAGGCACCTCCAAATTACATAACTGCCCTTGAGACCCAAATTTTGCCAAAATTCTCAAATTTTTGCCAAAATACCCAAAATTGATCAAAACTTAT